CATTTGCACAGGCACAGAGAGCCATGCTCAGTAAATTCCTTTCTGTAGCATCACTACACTTACATTACAGAGCACAGCTCTGAACAGTAGGACATTCTCACCAGGACCCAGCATTTCTAAGGTACCAAGATATTCCAGATCTTCCAGTCTTGATTAAGTTTGGAATTGGTCACCTGCGCACAACTGAGAAGGACTGCATGTACAAGGAATATCATATTTCATATTGCAACACTGAAGCAAGGATACACATTTTGGAGCAACAACTGTACATAAAAAACAAACTGACATAATACCATCTTATTTCTGTTGATGTCATTTGAATTACGATGACTTACTCAAGCTGAGGTTCTGGTCCTGTAAGTTAGTAGAAAGATTATTCCCCTTTGGTGACTTTGAGCCAAAACAGAATAGAACTGTGACAGTGGGAAAAGCTGAATTAGTCATCGGTGATAATTCAGCAGCACTGTGGCCCAAAGCTCTGCTCCAGGCACAGGAGGGGATAAGGCGAGATGCTCCTCGGATCAGGGCTCAAACATAAGTCTTATGCAACTTATGCTGCTGGGAAATAAAGCTGTGCCAGCGACATGTGTGCTTTTAACCTCCAGTACATTTATGTGAGAAAGCAGAGAGAATGAAAATGTGTAAATGTGCCTGTCAGAAACCTTGATCAGTCAGGGAGGTTTGTAATATGCTTGTAAAAATATAGTGTGGTCTACGGCTTTTATATGGCAGTTCTTAAGACAGAATCACAATTCTTTAAATAACTGCTACTTAAGTCATAGGAGAGCAAGTCATAAAGAAAATGGTACTGAGAATTTTCTCCTGCTAAAAGGCTTGGTGACTTTAACAAATGGAATGTTTCAGGCTCTTAACAGGCAGCCTTTCGCTGGGTGCGTATTTATTCATATGCTTAACCTTAGGCCCTGTGAATTGTCCCATTAATGCCCCCTGATGCACTGCCTTTACATTAGTTAAGCTGGGTGGAGCCACAGCAAGTAGCCCTGGATAGAGACCAAGATGCTAATGCACTAAATGCTGTGCAAGACTGCCCCAAAAGCCTGCCAGGTAAAGTCAACAGAAAACAGATGGATAGAGGAGAAACAAACTCAGGGAAAAAAAGAGAAAGCACCAAAATCTTGTGTTGTGGTGTGTTTGGGTTAGCCAGACCTGACTTTAGGTGGACTTGATGACACTGAAGGGTTTAAAAGACGTTGTGCAGAAGCACTTCAGGAACGTGTGCCTCAGGGGTGAGTCAGGAAGAGGATAAATCTGTGTTCCCCTCCGAAAACTTAAACCCGAGGGATGAAAATTATGCACAAATACAAATCTTTGCAAGTTTACTGCCTATGTGCTCAGGGTGATTTCTCGTGTTTCTCATTATGTATTTGGGTTGTATAGTCAAATCTTATATGCTTGGCTCCATGGGGTAAAATAATTAAAGATTAATAAACAGATCCAACACAACAAAATTCTCTTTATGAACAGGCAGAGTTCTTCAGCTTGAAAAGACATAGGGATAGATATACAGGAGCGATGTGTGAATAATTTCCATGAGGCTGGTATTACTTAAAGGCAAATAGAGCTTTCACAATTTATGGCTCCTTTCTTGGACAGTTGCTTTGGTTTTTAAAAACACTTTTTGGTATTTCCTTAATTTCTTTCTTTTCCTTCCTGTTCTCTCTATGCCACGCTTGAAGAATTGCCGCTATTAATATTTCATAACCTCCAGAGTACGTGCTAAAAACGTGGAAATGTAGAAACAAATCACATTTTGGTATTAATGCAATATTGCAGAGCATAGTTCTCAAGGCTGTGCAAAGAAAGGATTAGACTTTATGGAGGAAAAACCTAGCAGTAAAAATGTGTCTAGCAAAACACATTGAGAGTTTTTAAACAGTTTAAACAATTTTATCACATCCTGTAGTGACTTATTAACAGTGTCTTCAACCTTTATATATTCCAATAACAATCTGATGTCTTCATCTTATCGTAGGGAACTATAATTGGCTGAATCCAGGTACCACTGCCCGGAGGCCATACAATCTTATAGACTTTAATGGCTCATTAGCTATTTATTCACTTTAACTTAAACAGCTCAGCCATTTGTGGAAAATGAGTCTTTAAAATAGAATTAGGGGTTTTTTTTTGTGGTTTTTTTTTTTTTAACCTAAGAGTAGTGTATAACTTGAACTGCTACTGAATTTAAATTTCCAAACCTGCCAGTTTAATTTGGCCTTGCTGTCTTCCTTTTTCAAATGGGTTACAGCTTTGCAATCATTCCTTATGCTGAAGATTTGGTGGTAGTTAAAGCTACTTTAAATTAAACAGAACACTTCCTGTAGTTAAAAAACAAACTGACACACCACTAAGTGACCGATGAATGTGTTTTGATAACTCATACTGACAGATGTCATCTCCACAGGTGATCTCTAGCTTTTAATCATCAGGAAGCTGAGACTGGAGTAGGTTCTAATCAATCTGAATTTTAGCCAGGTTGGTGGGTGGTTCTCCTCTACTGTTCAAAACATCCTCAACACACATGGTGTACCTTGAGTTGTGTCCAAAAACATGAGCCTCTGCGAGAGACTGCACAAGTTCCCAGAGGATGTACAGTGAGTTGGCTTGAATGGGTCTAAGCTAAAGCCTGCACTTGGCTTGGTCAACAAACAGTGGTCACACTAACAGGTGAACCTTGTGTCCCCTTCTGCTTACTGATCTGGTTAAAGGAAAACGTGGTTTGTGAACAGCTCTGTATGAGGATACAGAAAATGCTGAGCTCACAGAGCACTTTCTAGCTGCTGAACCATAGCCCCCACTGTGACAGGACCCGTGGTAGAGGCTAGAACAGAAATCATCACTGTGTAAGAGTGGTTTGAGACATCAGTTCTGCTGATACACAGCCTCTTGTCTCCCATTCACATAAATCTTTTCTGTGTACAGTAAATGTGACTGAGAATGAGAGCTTATTCTGTACTTCTAGTTCTGCACTTCTAGTTTTCCTGAGAAAAATACAGTTAGTGAAAAAATGTAAAGCCCACAAAATGCTTAGGAATCAAAATAATACCTTTAATATGAACAGACTGTGATGGTGTATACACGCTGCACACATCAGCATGGGGATAGGGGCTAAAATACAGCCTTGGTAGAGCTGGGGTCTAAAGAGCAAAGAGGCTGAAAGTGAAGAAAAGCAGACATTCTTCCCTTTAGAATACAAGAAAAAATACTGAAGGATTGTCCTTCTATCAGAACAATCATTAAGGTTCATTAGTTACTTTAACTCACTTAGAATGCAGCTTAAAGGCAATCTGTATCTGATATCACTCTGCCAGCTGAAGCAAAAGGTTTTCTTTTCCTTTCCTCCCTTTTCACAAAAGGCATTGCCAAGAGGGAATGGCAGGAGTCAGGAGCCTGTTTACTTATGCCATGCCCCTTTTTCATTATCCCTTGTCTGTTTTCTGCACGCTGAACACTGTCTACAACTTTCAATATCCAATTTAAATTGGTTTCAAATAAATGGCAGAGGAATGCATAAGCAAAGATTTCTGTTTCATGTCAGGGGAACAGAACAGCGCAGAGAGCATCTTGGTCATCCTTTCTTTTAAGCTTGTATAGTCTGCTGCTCATATGCTACCTTCATTGATCAGCACCTTTGAAAAATGAGTCCATTACTGTCTACACAAAATGGTTCTATGAACCATTTTTAAACAAGCAATACATCTACAAAATTAACCCCTGGACAGCTTTCAAGGTTTTCACCCTCTCACAATAACACGGTCACACTTAGGATAGGCATCTTGATATTTAATTACTGCAGACAACAGGAAGGTCTGCAGTACCTATGCCACTGAAAAGATAACAGTGATGATAGAATCACCAGGACTCAATGTCACTATGATGTGCATTAAATGCTGCCATATCTTGCTGTATGTACCCCACATCATGCAGTGAATAGAGGGGACTGTAGTGCTCCTCTTTTCCTCCCAGCAGCTCCATCCTAGGAAAAATTATTAGGATAACAGTCCTTCTGGGACAAGATAGTTATCTCCTAAATCAACACTACTTCCTAATGAACAGCTCTTGAGTTGGGTCTAGCTCTGCTTAATTTAAAGTAGTTGTGTTGACATAATATATTTAGACTTCTGTAATGTGTTTGACTTCATACTGCACAACATTCTGATTAAAAACAATTATCGCTATACAAAATCGGCGTTGCACATATTAAATGGCTCCCAAAGTGTCTCACTGATGGCAAGTGGAAGGCAGCTTTAAGCCAGGAACCAGCACCAGTTCCTTTGGGGTCTCCACACAGACAACCCAGCACAGTGCGGTGGGTGTAAATGGCACAAAAGTCCAATTTCGATAGCAGGTCAGGGTCATGAGGCGGATGGAGATCATCCTGCTGGCAGGAAAGTTTTAGCTACAGTAAGGTCGCTCAGACATCTTTATCCCAAAAAATACCAGAGCAAAGCCTTCACCTTTAATTATTCAAGCAAAGGGAGAGCCCAGTGAGGGATGCCCCTGGGGAGCATCTCCAAGTGCTGGGGGACACAGCCCCTCTTTTATCCCTGCACCCCAATGCTGCTGAGCCCTTCCCCCCTGGCTGACATAGGTTCACTCCCACAGCTCACCCCTCCTTTGTTTATACACACTTTGTAATCTGGATTCAGAGCTTGTTGTTTTGCCCAACTAGAACTATCTTTGTATCCTGTCAAATTTATCCCTCTTTGTTATGTCCAGTAAACAAGATTTACATGCAGGTGCTAAGCTGGCTGTCATAGATCAGCAAGATAAGTTTGTTTAACCAGATCCTCGTGACCAAAATGCTTCTTCTCAGCTTTATCTTGTTCTTCAGGGACCCCTATCCTTCCTTTATGCTTCCCAGATATCAGCTTCTTTTGCACGGCCACCTCATCCTTATTTCTTCTGCACAACAAAGCCCAAATTCATAACTAAGGCCACGCTTCCCAAATAAGTGTTGTGGAATAGAGGTGGACCAATCTGACAATGGCAGCCCCTGCTGCAATTCTTTGTGCACCTGCTGTGGTTCTAGAAGGTTCTGGAAGGTTCTGCACAGCTCCAGTGGCTGCAATCAGCACCAGCTGGATCTGCAACACCATCACAAAGCACCTGTGGTCACTCAGCACAGTGCCTGGAGGGGGGAGAAGTTAAGAGAGGAAAAAGCACTGCCTGGCACTGAGAAGTGAGGGGAAGAAGTGTGAGAAGCAGTGATGTGAGCTCTAGAGGTGAGGGTGCTCGGAGCCCGTGTTCCCTACAGCGTAGCACGGGACGTGCAGGGAGAGGAAAGCAGAGCACAGAGGTGCGGTCACAGCCCTGTGCACAGCTCGGGAGGGAGAAGCTCCGGGAAGAAGGGAGAAGAGTTGAAGGTTTAATTTTGTCTGCGCTTCTCGCCATCCAAATATATTTTAATTGGCCGTACGTTAATTTCATTTTCTGCTTTGGCTGTCGCTGGAAGCACGGCGATCTGATCTCTCCGCTCAAAGTAATGCAGCAGTCCGTCTGGCTGAAGGAAGAGGTCTGCACGTGCTCTGCTCGCAGCCCGTGTGAGGAAGCAGGCGGTCAGCACGCTACGCAGTTTGCTTTGCTTTAAGTGTAGTCTCTCTAATTGAAGATACGGCTCCACAGGTCTCAGGAACAAAGAATTGACCTTCGTTGACTTGAAGCCAAACCGCAGCAATTAGCAGCTGAAAGCAGGAGGAGAGCTGGGGGCGGACAACGGGAGCCAGCAGTTCAGGTCAGGCTTTGGGTGCTAAAATATCACGCAGTGACTCAGCGTGGGGGAGAATTCGCTGAGGGATGTTGAAGAGTTTTCCTTATTTCACGTTATTTTTGTCCTAAAAATCTGTTGTAACTCCTACCACGAATTAAGGTCAGAATCCAGGAGTTACCGAGTGATGTATTTTGACCTGGATAACGCTGGAGGTCAAATGGAGAAAGGTAGCATTCCCTTCTGGTCTAAAAATTCCATCAATGAACGAGATCACAGCCTGCAGTGCTGAGAGTTCCAGCATGGCAATTTCATGTCAGAACAGTGCTTTACTGCTGGTTGATATACTTAGTAACATAAGTATGTTGAATCAGAGCAGAGGAACTTGCTTTGGGATTAATTTTAGTTAGTGGACTTATTTTTGTTTTTCCCGCTGGTCTCCATTGGAGACTAAACATCTTTAAGATAGAGAAAAACATCACGTTGCTGTAAAGTTGATTCACCCAAATGTAGAACTACTGGAGCAGCGATCTGCCATGAGAACAGAATGGACTGAAGGGGCTTTACCACAAACTCTTCATTGAAACATCAAGGTGAAATGGGGTTTTTCTGCAAGGATTCTAACAGCCACTATTGATTCCCACAGGGGAAACAAATTCACCCCCTTTTTTTTTTCCATCGGCGCCATTTTGTCAGGTGCCATTTTGTCAGCCTGCCCCCTGTGCTGCCATCTATCCCACAGCAACAAACTGGAATGGTATATTGGCAGGAAGGTTCAACCTTTACTGCCATGCCACTATCAGTTGCCTCTGGTCTCACAGACCAACATAACATAGCAGGTGTGACTTTTGGAGCAGCCCTTCCTTTAGGTAGGTCTGATCTAACTTAGGAATTTGGGTTCTTTATGCAGTCTGGTGGAACTGATTATAAGAGCTGTGAATAACCCAAATAACAGGATTTGTATTTGGGAAACTTGTCAGCATTTGATGTAATCTGCTTGCGTCAGTATGAAAGATGTGGGGAACATGGAGCAGGGACAAAGATCTGTGCTGTGATTTAATGAAGGTGGTGATCCTCTCCATTAAGGCCATTCCACTATTTTTCATGGGCACATGAGAATTACATTCCTTGCTGTTGTACAGTTTTCTGTCAGGTTAACCCCTGAGCACAGCACTCCAAAGGTAACACTGCTGTGTTCCATACAGCATTCCACATCATTCCATATCACATTCTCACTGAATGCATTGCCCTTGGGTACACTGGGGTTAGTTAAGCAGTATTTCTAGATGTTTGATTACCACGTTGAGATAATTAATGGGCTGCATGCTATCTCTATTAATTAGACCATGCTCAAGCCTTGATAAAGTGTGTGTCCTTATAGTGCAGCATAATAGTTTCACAAATCCCCTACAAACTGTGGTTAATTACAAGCTCATCGTGATTTCAGGATCTAAGAGAGGAGGAGAAAAAAAAAAAAACCCACAACTTTTTTTTTTTCAAATGGTTGTTAAATAATTCTAAGAAAAATCTCCCATGAAGTGAAAGTAAGGATGCTTTTTGGAAGATGAAGTGATTTGATAAAAAGAAACTTTATTGTCTTTCAGACAGTTTAACAATTTAACTGCATCATTCTATATGTGTATATGTGTACTTAAGAAATTCAAAGTAAGGAGGCCAAGACCCCCTTTTTTTTTTTTGTGAAACTTTGAAGAAGGCATTCTCTTCTTGCTTTTGTGGGGTTGAGCAAGCCTAGGAAGGAAAAAAATACAGTAGAGATACATTGGAGGGGCAGAAAGACAGTAATCTATAGTTGATGTTTACTGAAATTTACAGCTTTACACAGCAGTGCAGAATCCCCTTTTCAGAATGCCATGAGAACACACTTTGCACTGCTCAAATCGCAAGCTCCCATCACAGCATAAAACCTTTTTTCAATCCTGCAATCTCTAGTTGTCCTTGCTTTCAACCCCTTTGACTGCTGTGTTCTTATGGATGCTCAGAAGTGAAGACATACGTCCACATCTGACAGCAGGGCTGTGCAGCCTGAGAGTATGCTCACTCCTTAGGCAGAAGATCACATACACTGTTTTTATTTAAGACAGAGGCAGCTTATCTGCCAACTCTAAAGCAGAAAAAAGGAGTTTGGTCTGCTCGCTACTGTAAAAGTTCTTTTAAAATATTAGCATTTAGTATTAAATGTACGAGTTAACATTATTCTGTGTGCATATCACACACAATGTGTACTAAAATTATAGTTAATTGCAATTTCATGATCTGTGTGGAAATGGTTTTGTGTTTAAACTACAGGTTGGTTATTTCCTCGGTTATCTGAAGCAGTTGTCTGCAGTGTTACGAGTGGCCTGTTCATACTGACTCACTGCAGCATCACTTGGCCTTTCCAGCTCCCTGGGATGAAAGCTGCTTGCACGGAAGCATCAATGTCAATGGTAAGCTCAAATATGAAGTTAAAAATACTATCAAAGCAGATTAGAGAGTATTTGTTCAATTACTGTCTATACAAGCCATCTGGCAGCAGGGCATGAAAGGTAATCGGCTTCATTTTAGGAGTGGTGTATTTCACTTCCTAAGCACCTTGACTAAGAGATGCAAATGCAGGTCTGTCTGTCTTTAAAATGGTGGCTGATCACAGCTCTTAAGACTTAATTTAAATTTGCTTTAAGAAATGTCATATTGCTGGGGAAAAAAGGTACAATGTCTACACATGCAAGTATTTCGTCTAGGTAGACAGATTCTCCTCTTTTTCTATTTGAAAGTTCAGAGGAAAAAGCAGGAGAAAAAGGAAGAATAACAACAAAAAAAAAACCTCAAGTGTTGAGATTACTCAGTATTTCTTGAAAGGAAAAAGGAAGAATGTTTCTCAGCACTGTTGAATCGGACCATCATAAAACAGTCTTCGTGCCCTGTAAAAACAAAATAAACTTTCCTGTTCTGCTGTAGAAACAAAGGAAGAGTCTTGCAAAACAGCACATTTCTTCTGCTTTGACTGCCTTTTCTCCAACAAAACTGGAGTGTGGATCTCTACCGGAGCAAACTACAGTTTGCAAAAGACATGCAACTTTATTCCTGTGTAAGCCCAGCTTAAACACTGGGATTTTTTCCTGTTCTAGATTTGTGTGGCCATTAGCAACTGAGATTTAGTGTTCACCTGTGCCTTGCTGCACAAGAAAGAACAGCAAATAAGAGCCAGGTGTAAATGCTGGATTAACTTGAGGAGGCTGAGGGCAGGTGAATGAGGTAGAGAGGTTCACAGCAGCAGCCTTCCAGTAGATGGCTCTGTTATACACCAGACTGTCCTACAGCTCCTCCACCTCTCCCCAGTGAACCCTGTTTTGTCTCATCCAGCCTTCTAGCACAGATCTACACATCTTTGCCTTTTCATTTGAACAACAGTGTCAAGCGTAGGTGTCTCTTGTAATCTTACCAGTTTTTCTCTTGGTGATCACATAATTATGAAGCTTCATGACAACACAGCAACTTTCTTAGTAAAACCCCAGGGCGCAGGATAAACCACTACTTGTCAAGCTGATAGGCTGAGTGAGAACTGGTAGCAGATGAAGAGAGTCCAGTTGAATTACTGGTGGCACATTTATTCAGATAAAATTTAACAAGATCAATTAAGGCTCTTTGTTTAGTGGAAGGCTACTTCACAGATGTTATTTCCAATTTCAGTTTTTTTTGTTGCTTTGTTTTTTAGTGAAGAGCACAATATGGGGTTGATGAGTCTTGTTATTTTGCCTGTAAAGAGAGGTCTTAAATGCTCAGAGATGCCTGCCAAGTGCAGCCGTTCAGTTCTACACCACAGAACTAGATGAGTTTTGCTCGAGTTATAAAATACATTAATTTAAGATTATACCCCTGTATGCTGTGGAACATATGTAGGTACAGCACAAAGATGACAATTTGTCAGGCCCTTCTCCAAGCCCTTTTTATGAAGAATGAGATCCCATTTGGACCAGTTACAAGTGAATGGACATTATATGCTCAAAATCATTTCTTTGTTGCTTAATACAGCAAAATATTGTCAGTGTAATTATTTTTGTGCCATTCTTTTGTCCTGTGGCATCAGTCCAAATGTGATTCCTACTCTACCTGGCTGTAACCCAAGACCACTTCACGTAAGGCCCTCAGGATCCTAATTCTCTCATTCAACTATGACCAGTGTCTGTGCAGTTTTGATTCAGCATATGATGGTCTGTGCGGAGAATTACAAACACAGTTCTAATTGTCAGTGGCCTCTTGCAAAAATTTATATTGATCTGCTGTATATTGCCAGTTCTTCATAGAAAAACTATATCAAATACATAGGAGAGTTCTATTTCTTTTCTTTGGCTCTTGGTATATTCAAAGCCACTTAACATTCCGTTTTTAAACTCTTGCATTACAGGCAAGCAGCCATGCGTGCAAGTAATGTATGTTCCCCCAAAAAAGTTTATTAACTGGGGGGATCAAATCCCTTCTGAATAGCATGTAATTCAGAAAGGAGATGGAGCATAAAACAAGTAGTCAGTGGCAAAACTGGGTTTGTTTAGCCTTGAGAAGGCAAGACTGAGGGAGCTCTTACTACAGCCTTCTGATACATAAGGGGCAATTACAAACAAATCAGGGCTACAGGCTTTGTGTAAGGGCTCAACAAAAAGGCTAGATGCAGCAATTGTAAGTTTTAACAAAAAAAAAACCACCAATAAAACTGAGTGAATATGAAGAAAAAACTCTTCATATGTGTGAAGCACATGATTAAGCATTAGAGCAGGGGCCAGAAGAGTCTGTGGAATTTCTGTCTTGAACGTTTTGAAGATATGACTGGGTGAGGGAGGGAGGGGAAGAGAGAGGAGACAAAATGTAGGCATAGTTCTTCAAGTTTTTCTACGCAGATGTTTTTCATCGTTATAATTTTTTTCTTTCTGCCAGAGAAGTGATGATATTTAACCATAGCTCTCATTCTTTATGTTGGACACTGGCTATTGAATGTGCTATAGCTACAAGTTTAATGAGACTCTATCCTTTTAGACGGTCTCTAAAAATGGAATAGAAAACAAGGCTATGGTCTTATGATTGATTGTGTTACTGAGGTGAGGAGTACAGCTTTGTGCCTCAGCTGCAGTTTCATGGCAGGTAACAGCTCCTTGCATTTGTGTCCTACTAAGGTGAAGTCTGGTCCGCCTGAGCTGGTGCAACTTGCCAAATCAGTCTGACTAAAACTGAGGCTAGTGGTGCCCTGATCCTGGGATGTGTCATGTGGCTTGTCATATAAAACCCCACAGATCCTTTCTGATCTTTTTTTAAAGAGTGAAACTGAGGTGAAATGGGCACTGTGGTCACAGGAAAACTGGAACTTTGGAGAGATAATGTTTCATTGTACATTTTTAGAAGCTATGAAGGAAGTACTCTTACATTTGCCTGCAACCCTTTGCTGCAGCAGTGAGGATACTTCCTTTTTTATCAGAAGCTGCAGGTACATAATGGAGTCCAAGCTTTTCTTAGAAATAACTTGGAAGAAACAGTTCTTCATGCTACATAACATAAACAATTGCTAAAATATGCAGATCAGGAAAAGTAATGATGTGTAATACCATAATGTTTTAAACGTCTTAATTTAGTTTATAGGTACTCCAAAAAAATCTCTTAAGGAGCCAAGCATCAATAATGTGAGCCTGTGCTAGCTGAGTAATTACCTCTCGGTGCTGAATTCTTAAATATTAATTTGCTGTATGCTATTAATCATGTGCTACACAGTAATCTCTGAAGGCGAGGCAAAATCACGGCTCCGAAGTGAAAGCAGAGAGTAGCTCTTCCACCAAGGTTCAGAGTTTGTAGTTCTTCAGATTTGTCTGGTAGCTTTTGATAAATGTGCACATGACATACTTGGCAGTGCTTGTTTGCATGGCAGGTATAAATATGGGGTTGGCCACATCAGATTACATGACGTTGCTAAATGCTCTTCAAAGCACAGCTGGAGCTTGATGCAGTGGTTGCAGAAGGAAGGTGTGAATGTCTGAGACTCTTAAAATTAGGTCTGCTCATAAATTACTAAAGACTTACTTGTATTTCCTTGCAAAGTGTCTGAAGAAATACAAAAATACTTTGTGCCCTTAGCAAAGAAGAGCAGTTCCTGTTGTTAGTGAGGTCAGTGAATATTTTTGCAGAACAGCTTCTGTGTAATCAAGTCAGGGCATATTTGAATTGCAAAGCGTGGTACAGTAAAGACACCCAAGCTAAGGTCAAATGAATGAGGTCAGGTACCAAAGATACTTCAGCTGCAGTAGTATACAACAGTCCCAGCTAACTCGCTCTGCCTGACAGACTCAGCAACAACAACAAAAACTAACAAAAAAAGAAAAACAACAGGAAAGAAACCCCATAAAGTATTTAGAATCTTGAAACGTCATCTAAAATTAATCTAATACCATATCTCATGCTTTCCCATTGGGGAACCTTCATTTCTTGAAGCTCAACTTCTCTCAGTCCTTTCAGAGAGGCAAGCGTATCTGTAAGACAGGTAAAGAGAGGGAAACATTGGTGTTTCACATGCCCTGAAGATAAATAAAGCTGATTTGGAGAACTTTCTCCTCCATTGAGCTGGTTGTATTGGTTAGGGGGGCTCTTCTAATGCAAATCCACTGCTTTGGTTAGGGTCACAGTTACTGTAGTTATGTTGTGGTTGCTAATGCTAACTGTAACAGTCATGAGGATAACAGACTTCCTTCTTTAGAGAGAAGGAAACGTCAGCCCTAATGGAAGGTGTAACAGGTAATGCCAATAAACACTGGGATGAAAAAAATAAAGTTCTGCCATTCCCACTCATTAGGTGTAGGATTCTTGGTATGAGATTTCACCCATTTGGAGCTTCCAGGGTCTGATTTAAGTGGCAGCTTGTGGAGCTACTAAACCTAGTGGTAGCAATAGAAATGACCACTTCTATTTCATTGTGCTTCCTGTGTTTATTTGACGGTAGAGATTGATCAGTATGGGTGTTTTCCTTCCTCTGGAAGCAGTGGCTGCCCACAGTTAGGAAGACAGAATGATCCTTGTTGCCTTTTGCAGTCATTTGTCCAGTAGTAAAGTGAGGATAATTCTGTGCGCCCTCATAGGTGTGCAGCTGAGTGCCAAAGTCTTCCAAAGTTCACAAGTTTCCTGCTGATTTTCACACTGTCTATAAAGTCAGATGTGTGGGCATGGAAATTCATGGGTGGGCACTGTGTGTGTGCAGCTTCCTTAGGGACTGTGATTCTGCACCCCCTGAGATATTTTGAGATGGAGAGCTTTTTAAATCACTGGAAAGGGCAAAACTCCAGGGAGAAATCTACCTGGAAAAATAGCTCTGTACCTGTGCTCAGTTTTAACATCAGTGAACTTTCAGCCAAAGCTTTTCCCATTTGCTTTTGTTCTTCCCGTTTGCTCACACTTCCTATCACAGCCTCCTTTATCT